ACCTGGATCCCGTAGGATTAACGTCCTTACAAGAAGAGCTAGAGACCCCAGGCAAGCACACAAAGAAGAGAAGGGCCCACGTGATGTTTGGGAGAAGGCCGCTGTTAACAATGAAGGGAAAAGGCAGCAATTTACAAGCCACAAGAGCTCTCACCAGAAACGAACTCACTGGCCTTCACCTCAGACTCGCCGCTACTGGAACTCTGAGAAAATCATTGTCTGTTGCCAAAGCCCCCCAGCCTGTGGTGCTTGGTTATGGCACTTGAGCAAACCAAGAGAATGTTTTACCTGCTTGAATGGCTTTTTGTTCTTTGACAATATGGTCACCATCTTACAGGCACTTGAATCTAGCCTTCAGGAACTGGGTTGTGAGAACTGCTATTTCTTCTCAGAAGCTATGTCTATATAAATACACATGTACTTTATGATTCCTAGTAAGACCGGTTTAAAGTGTTCTAAGGGGACATGTGGCAGTATGCAGGGCAATGCTTTTTGAGTTCATTTCCAGCAGACCTAGATCTGACCTGCTCTACCACTTAGGAGCTTGGCTACTCATTAAACACCTGTAGGCTTCAGTTTTGTTTTTGCACAAGTGCAATGAGGGTATGCAACCTCACCTTACAGAACTGATATGAGGATTTTAACAGTGATGTCTTAAGGGACTTAGCATAAGGTTGGCATGAACAGGTGCTTAAGGAACATACATCATGACTTTTCCAAATCACTCCTTTATGAGTTGAAACCCATGGCCTTTATATTCCCTGTTGGTTCAGATGTGCTGAATCTGAGCCTTGATACCTGAAACAAATCCATTCAAGGGGCATGGAACTATTAGGTCCAGGAATCTCCACAGGAATTTCAGAAGCTTCACCCTAGGAGAGCACAGAGATCAACCCCACACAGTCTGGCTTGAGCTGTAATTACAATGAGCTGAGTAAAATCAAACACAGCTTACAGAGGAGATGTTGACAAGGGAACCTTGGCATTTCTCAGCACAACTAACAGGTGGGAGGTTATTGCTAAGACATTAGACATTCCCAGGACACTTCTACCTCATAGAAACCTCTTACCCCCGAATCACTGCAGTCAGAGTCCTGGGGCTTCTGTTTACACCCCAGGTGTTCGTCCACTTGTCCTTCAGCATCAGGTCTGATCGCCCTCAGCCATTTCCTTTTCCCCAGTGGCTAGAAAGCCCTTGTCAAGGAAGACAAAGAGTAAGACGGCATCTCCTCTACTTGCACCTCATCGTTGTTGAACCTTCACTGCGGGCTGCACCCTTCCTCATGAAGCAACTATTTTATTTGGTGTTTTTTTCGGCTTTTTTTTTTTAAGACAGCACCCTTTCCTCTGCCCCAGATCCTTACTAAGACCATTGTTTCTCACCAATTAATAACCACAAGTTTTGGGCGTTGGGATCTTCCTGATTTCCTACAGAAACAAACTCCTTTGCATGCTATTTTATGCAAAGAGCGCAGTCAGTGTAAGTGTAGAAAACCAGAGGGGTGAGCAGTAGGGACTCCATGCAGGCAGCTACACACTTAATCCCACCCCACCCCCGGAAAGAGAGGGTATTCGGAAGGTGCTGTTCTTTGAGGTGTGATATGGGTCTCTGGTCTTGCATTCTGATTTATTTTCTACTGCTTTTGTCCTCCTTCTGGTTTATAACTGGTTTGAACCTTTGAAGACTTACCTTTATGGTAGGGTGTTTTCACCTTTCTTATATGTGGATGCTTAAGTTTCTGGAATTGGGAGTGGTCACATTTTTATTAGAATAATGCAAATGTTTGAAACATCTCTATATCCAATATATTTACTTCTTTATGGAACAGAACTATATTTCTCAGTCTTGTATATACACCAGGGGAGAAGAGGGTGGAGGATGGTAGGAAATGACATTTCAGAGTATACTTCAAACCGCCAGGTAAATGAGATGTGTTTGTTTTCCCAGAGAGCCAGTGTCACCTGAATAGATGGGTACAAAGTATTATTTTCTGTTAAAACAAATATGAATAAATAATCTGATGAACAGAATGAACTGGTGATTATAATAGAATCAGGGACATAGAAAGGGAATGGACTGACTATTCTTGGGCAGGAAAGGGGTGTGGGAGATGTGGGAAGAGACTGGACAAAAATTGTGCACCTATGGATGAGGACAGTGCGTGGGGAGTGAGGGCGGAGGGTGGGGCGGGAACTGGGAGGAGGGGAGTTATGGGGGGGAAAAAAGAGGAACAAATGTAATAATCTGAACAATAAAGATTTAATTAAAAAAAATGTATATGAATAGGCCATGAAGTAGGAACCAAAATTCACAAGGACTTTTAAGATACACTAATAGCTGTTCACAGCTTTTTAATTATAGCATCCCCCAGGTCCTTAGGGTGCATATTCATTCACCTTACCCGCCCTCCAGTGTGAGCTAAAGGGAAAGTTCAGGAATCATTTAAATAGAGTTTCCCGTTAGTGGAGAAAACAGGTCTGTTCCAGCAAGTTTATTATTTAAGCCACAAAGTTCATTTCCTTTTGTTGTTTTGTTTTCATCAACAGAGGCTAAGGGCATAACTGAAATGAATGTTGAGAAAATGCTTAATTATTTCTCTCCTTTGTTCTCATACTTGCTGTTGCCCAAATCAAATCTCATATGTTCGGCCTTCATAGCAGTACAGTTCTGACCGAGATGTGTTATTTTTGTGATAAGTATTAAGTGGCATCATTTGTGAATAGTCTGTGAAGAAATGGGTGAGGTAAGGAAAATTATCATTTAATTTCCAGTTAGACTAGAAACTGTTCAAAGAGGAAATGAAGAAAGCAGTGGTGACCTTGAAGGAGAATGATGTTCAAAACCTGTCGTAATGAGGGACAGCACACCGAGATGGTGGGTAGCACAGAGTTTGAAAAAAAAATATGACAAGAATACAGTTCCATTCCTTGTAGAAAGAAGGGAGAAACACTGACATCTATGGGGAACCTACAGTTGCAGCTAACTTCCTACGTGTTTTATTTAATCCTCAAAACACCTTGATAAAGATATTCTCTCCATGTAGGCAAATGAGGTACTAAAAGGAGTCATGGGGCTGGCAGGACTCGGTTCCGTGTGTGTTTTGGTCCATGGCGGTGATGGTGTTTGCACACCCTGTGGAGTGAAGGGCACGGTGACTTGGCCTGGCCTGTGTGGTTCTATAGACAGTGCTCAGAAGCTCCGCTGGTGGCCTGCTCTGGTCCTGCAGAGCACAGGCTGTGTGTTCCCTTCAGCTCACATTCCTTGTTGGTTTTGACTCTCCTTGCCTGATGACCATTCCCAAAGCAGCTCATGAACCCTGTAAAGTCAGGTAACATACTTCCCATTACTTTGTCTCCACTGTGGCATTTTGAATTGTTTTAACAGATGTTTGGCAAATATCAGCTACATGATTGACCTTTTGCACCCAAGATTCTAGGATAAAAAGCTACGTGTGCACAGGCAGAGGCTTCTGAATTTGCAACTTAAGCCTTAGCTGGTAGCCCACAGATAACACGCTTTAAAGGTAAGCTCCAGCATTGCTCTCTTTCAGATAGCTCTCCTTTAAAAAACAAAAATAAAAATATATCAGGATAAAACAAAGACCAGGAGAATAGTCTTAATAGAATTTCCTCCTGATTTATGCTTATAAATGCCAATATCTCCACTTAAAGGAGCTATAAATTATCATCTAACACATCAATGCTAAGGTAAAGTGGGAAGAGGGTTCACGCCTCTCTTTTCCCCGACCTGCTTGTGGAGTCTTCACAAGAGAATCAGGCCAATGGTGAATCTAAAATGATTTTTATGTAGAAAGCAAGATTTTGCTCTCACAATATTTTCACATTAAGAGGTCCAACCAGTTTAATTACCTTTTGATTACCCAATTCATTTGCATTTCCTCCCTGGATCCCAAGCTCCAGACTCTTCAAGGAAAACACACCTGACCATGAAATGGCTTTAAGTGCATGACCTTGCAAAGGACAGCACCACCTGAGAACCTGGCCAGATGTTCCATGTTTCTGTTAACAGATTGTGTTCCCTAGAGGCCTCACCACGAGACCAGAAACAATGCAAATCAAGTTCAAGCACTCTCCTCCTTTGGATGGAATGCACACTGTGAAGGGCAGAGCACGCTGGGTCTGCCTGTCTGCTCTCCCACTAAGCGCATCCATTAGTTAATTATCATTCTCAACCAGGAAGAATTGTTAATCACTGGTTAACACGAAGGATGGGGAGAACGTTTAGTGAGGCCTTGGAGCAGGCACATTCTCCCTACGTGTTGAACATTCTGACAAGTTTTTCAGTAATCACTTCTGTTTTTTGTGTTAGCCCCATTCCTCATCGCAGGGGTTATCTGAACTACAAAAGGCATCAGTAGAATTTTCTGGAAATATATCTTCTGTAAGGTTTCATTTTGGGGCAGCTATTTCCGTAGCCATACAGACTGATCCTTTGGGTTAACTGTAGCATGAAATGGGTTCAGTTACTCACAGACCCCACTAGGATAAGCCAGGGCCTCGAACACTCTCACTGTGAAAGCTTTTTCTTGATAGTGGATGGTCATTGCTCAGCATAGGCTACTGCCTACTCAGAAAGGTTTTGAAGGAAGTGTGCCATTTGCTTTCATATGCTGGAAGTGATTATAAAAGAAAAGCAAGCAGCTTATAGACTCTCCATCAAAAATGGCGTTGCTTTTGGAAAAGCTTGTCTGCTTTTGTTTCAAAAGTTGAAGGATAGTAGAAGTTTGAGATCCTTAGAAAATTTACCTAGCTCTTTGGCATCCGGAATTGTTGGCAAGACACACTGGAGGGAAATATTGAGCCCTGCAGGTGACATTTTTAGCTCTTTGAGGAACAAAACACCAGGTTATCTCCATTTTTACCTGCTTACCTGGAGCTCAATACAGAGGCTAAGAGGGCTCTAATTTGTTTGTTTTATCAATATATCTGTGTTTTGCTTAACCTGTTTCTTAGTACAGCTCTCCTTTCTTTCTCTCCAGGTCATGGGTTTGGTTCCTCAAAGATGTCACGTGCACAGACCTTTCCCAGCTATGCCCCAGAGCAGAGCGAAGAGACTCAGCAGTCCTTGTCCCGGTCCAGCAGCTATGGATTCAGCTACAGCTCAAGCCTCATCCAATGACACACAGAGAACCACTGCTGACCAGAGAGACAGTCTGTCCCAGACCTGCTTATGGGGTCATTGTGCCCTCTGCCTCCTGGAAGACCAATTGCAGTAGAAATTGAAATGGGTTGGGTCTAGCCCCCATCCCAGAGGAAGGTTCAAAACTGGAGTTCCGCTTCCTTGATTCCGTGGCTAAGTCCTTTATTTATTGAATTTCTTGGGGGGGGGGGGGGGACGGGGGCGGGATATCTGTGTTTAACAAAGATAGAATCCAAATCATATGAACAGTCATTTAAATACAATTCTTTGGGTCTGACAGTAGCAGCAGCCCGGGCACCATGAGCATTGCCCAACAGGGTTGTACCTGGTTGGTGTCCTCATGGCTTAGTCCTCCCGTCTGATGACAGGGCTGGTCTTTAGACATAAAGGTCACCCACCACAAGCTGTGTGGCTTGGAAGGTTTTGACAGGGACAAATCCAATAAGCTCCACAAATGGCATCATAACTTGCCATATAAATAAGCCCAGTGACAATTGAGGGAACAGGAAATTTAGAACACACGATTAAGCAAGGCCTTGTAGCTCTGCGTGCGTGTGTGTGTGTGTGTGTGTGTGTGTGTGTGTGTGTGTGTAGATAAATAGAGATATGGATTTTGCTACATCCATCTATATTTAACAAGTATTATCAAATGTGTGCTGAGGGTGACAGGTCATGCTCACTTAAATAGTAGAGAACTGTCATTTGGTGTCATTAAAGTTAAAGATTGTTATGTTGAATAGCTATTTTTAAGACAGTGCTGTAAAAAAAAATGCTTCTTATTAGCAAAAGTATTTATATAGTCAAGTCTGCTCCTATGACAAGTCTGAGAGTGTGAGAAGGAGGAATGCTTTGGAAGCAAAAGAACCAGTCTAGCTGTCCTACGCCTCACGTCACTGTGCTGTCTTTCTGGTTAGCATTCCCTTGTTGGTGACAGTGTCTTTCTCCCTTTGGGTATGATCACCAGCCGGCTTCCATCTCATTTCAAGAAAAAGAACTCTAAATGAGAACCTGTTTAAGAAAGTGATTAAAATACCTGTAAAAAGAACTGATCTATTTTGCAGTCAGGAGACCAACAGGCACAGGATGGTAGATGTTTGAAACCTCACACACTCTTCTCAGCAGCCATCAGGGATTCGCCTTTTACTGTATGACCAGGACTTGCTGGGCTTGCCTTTCCTTTTGCTGGGTCAGGGTTGGCTGGGACTATGAGAAAATGGAGTAAATATAATTTTGTTCATCCTTCACACTAATGATGAAGGTTTAAAAGGAGCTGGTGATTTCCATGTGGACTGAGGAAATTTGGCTAATTCAGGTCAACATAGATAGTTTTGCTCTCGATTTTGGCATTCAGTTGAATGAAAATAAAGATGAACCTGCCTGATTATCTGATGCCACGTGCTTAAGATGGTCAGCTCACAAATCCCCTAAGAGGAATAGAAATAGCAGGGAGCCCAGACCATGTAAGATGAACACCAGATTTTTCTTTGTTAATAGCAAAATATTTTAAACTATCAAAGTTAGTCTGTTGAAAGGGTGCCTGTTTTGCTGATTAGAGATAAGGTTTATTCTTCATCCCTATCCATTCCTTTCAGAGGATTACTGCAACATTAAATGGTTCTGGGTCCCTCCTTGATCAATTCACATTTATAGCAACCACCTAGACTCTCCGCAACCCTCAGATAAATGTGAAAACCCCATCAAGATGCTAATCATAAGAGTTAATGTGGCTGTGAAAAATAATTATCCTAAGCTTTCAGGAATAAAAAGAAAATTGCTCAAATGCTCTGCACTGTGAATTTTGCTGACACATCAGAAGAGCAGATGACTGGTTCCTGACAATGACAGAGCCTTTCCTGAAGTTCCAGCTTTCAGAGTTAGGCACCTCTAAATTCCTTCAGCACAGGGCATTTGCTTTTGAAATGCCATTAGCTGAACGCACCAGAGCAACTCCCAGCTGAGACCATTTGAGCACAGCTCCTAGTGGGGTCCCACTCGGAGCAAGACTCACTCAGTCGAGCTGTTGCTTAGAGACCACAAGGGACTTAATGGGGGAAAGCCCCCAAAGGTCCTGGTTCATGTCTCAGTTTTATTAATGTGCCCGGAGCACAGACACCGAGTCCAGGGAGGTGGAATCTGCTAATTAGATGAGTTGCTCTCGTGTCTATTGGGTGGGAGACATAATACCTGCATGAAGTTACTCAAAAACACTGTTTTCTTGTGATCATTCCCAGTGAGCATAACTGACAGGGTACCAGAGATCAGGCAAAACCTTGGGCCAGTTCATTCTGCAAATCATGTTATAAAAAGAGTCTGTGAGATAGAAATTTCCTTCCCATGTCTTTATCCAATCTCATCGCAATGAGAATAAGGCCATAAAATATCTCCTGGGACATTTTTGGAGATGTATTCTCTCCTCTAACTATGCTTCCAATTGTAGCTAAGTCAAAACGACTAAATGAACAGATAGGAGAATTTATATTAACCTACCATACTTGACATAAGGCAGTGCGCATTGCAATAAAAATGACAAGCTGATAAATCTTCTACAAAAACCAAAGATGAAGAGTTACTGAACCCGTCTTCTGGAACTTCATGAAATCAATTCCACTGGAGCAACTAGAGTGGTCATAGGCATGTATTCAACTCACTTGAGCTTATAGGTTTTGACTGAAGATGCCTCTACACTTCACAAGTCATTTTTTCTCCCTCCAGAAATTGTATTATATCTTTAACATACATGTGACTTTTTCATTGTGAGGGAGTGACTTGCTATGAACCAAAGACATCTTTTGGCCCCTTCCAAAAGTGACTCCGCTGGGACTTCTCCAGATGGGGAAGGTGAGTGAAGAGGGGCACAGTTTCCATATCGGGTGGGAAGAGAGTGATGATGACAGAACCCCACATAAGTCCTAAAGGTTCGTCTGAGAGCAGAGAAAGCCTGGGGGACATACACATTTCACAGATTATGTGAGGGGATTCATTTTTTATGTCCCCAGTTTTTTCTTCCGATAATATTAATTGTTGTACACGTGACATTATATTTAAAATGCATAAAAGTACAAAATAACTTTAACCCAATAGCTCACTATTCTGATGGGGGCAAAAGAAAACACAATTTTTTTTTTTATTCCTTGAATGAATAGTAGGCTCTCAGAACTGATTTATTTATGCAGGTTGCAAATATTTATAACTCAATAGGTTCTGGCCACTGCCACAATTTGAACTTAATGAAATAAGAAATATATATTTACTTATTTATTAGGGAAGATACTGTTTGATAGAGCATGTGAAATAAAGTGAAATGTATTTATTAAAAGTAAACCTCCCCCTTTTCACCAAGTAGTAACTAGAGTACTAGTCCTAACATCTTGTACAATTTTTCTCTGTCTTCATTGGGCAATTATGTTTCAAAATTATTTATCACCTATAAAATTGTCAACCAGTTATACTTTCTGTCCAATATAGAAACAGTGAACTGATAAATAACTTCACACTGTTAGCAGTTTCTATGGATCCAATTTATTGCATGTGCTATCTTTGTAGTAAATATTAAAACACATCCTGAAAATTGATGTCTGCCCCTCATTCTTTGGCCAATATCTCAGAAAACTTTGTAAAAGAGCATGAGTATCCTATTCTCTAGATTATTTGAGCCACTTCCTAAAATGGACCATTAGTGATACAGTGAAAACAAGCTAAGCCAATTATATTCTTATGAAAATATTGTAGGCCAGTTTTGATTATTATAACACAGCCCAATAAATAGGCAATACACATTCAATGGGGCTGAGCCTAAAGACCTTTAACATATCATGTTATAACAAATATTATGCTATAAACTGCTCAAAGTGAAAAGTATGCATTTTTCTCCAATTCTATTAGCATATTATGTCTGTCCATATCTTGCAATTTCAAATTACTATACCAATAATTAACTATACTTTACAATCCCCAAACCTTGGTCTTCTCAAAATAGATAAAAATCTGCCTACTGGACATGCATTAATAATTACAATAATAGGTGATATGCCACACAAATGAATTTCTAGCCCATGAAATTTATGGAGTGCAATTTCCAATGGAGAGAGTTGAGAAGGAAAATGGGAACTAGTCAGGGCAACAATTTAGATAAGATTACAAAGACTCCAGTGAACTGTCTAGTCATTAGACTCTAGTGTAACACTCAGATTTACTTTCTTAACATTCTAACCTCGGTGCCATGTCCCAGACACGGCCTTCTTTACTAGTTTCTCTGAGTACTAAGTATGCAAGACATCAGTCGTATCAGTATTGACATTACCACACGAAGACAGCCTATTACCAACAAGTGTGCTTCCTTTAGGAGAGTGAAAATTGTTTAACACCAAAGAACATGTAACAGGATCCCCTTAGTCCAATGTCTCTTCAGTAACTTGAGAGTCATTCCTGTAGAGTCAACCTCATTTGCATGTCAATGTGAAGATACGCTATCAGTGAGACAGGCTGGGGGCTGAACAGGTCAGAAAAGATGCACAGCCCGTGTGTGCGTTCTCTATAAATGTACCTGAAAGCTTAACCCACATGTTCTACTACAAATCCTTCCTTTCTTGTTGAAGCATGTGAATCTTTGTGGATCAAGTTTTATAATTTATTACAACTAGATACGGCATTATAGTTTATAGACTCTCATGGAAGTATCATGAGATTTGGGGCACATTTTCTAGATAGGTGGAATGCTAGTTAGCTCTGGAGATGAGCGTGAAGAATAAAACTCCTGTTTTTATGTTCCCCTCAGGAGAAAACCAAAACCCATAAATGTTGTAATTTATTCACAGGCAAGAAACAGTCAGGAATAGGGTCACCTAGCAGGCTCCTAGGAATGTTTCCTTGGCTACATCTCAACTCCCAGGGATGCGTAGTAGGAGCTGAGAAATGCCACATGGCCTATAAGTGAACAGGCCCTTGTACATGTGTTTTCCCAAATTTGTCAGATGTTTCTAACTCTTCCTGGACTCATCACCAACAATATCAATTATGGGGCAATTATTAGACCTGTAGGTCATGGATGATTGGTATAAGTATTACTATTCTTATACTGTCATCCAGTTCTTTGTTGGAAATTTAGACTTACTTTTTCTAAAGTGATGGTCAAACTAAAAAAAAAAAAAAAAAAAAAAGG